AAATCCACCCTTTAAAGCATGACATTTTAAAATAGCTTTTAGAAAACTAAAATGTAGACCAAAGTTTGAGAATCTGCCTCGGGGTGGCGGGGTGGGGGGAAGAGCCAAATCTCTAAAACATGGGTTAGGACTAGTGCTTCTCAAAATTTACTATGTATCAGAATTACCCTGTGATTTAAAAATATTCTGGTGCTTTCCCTAAATATTTCCCTAAAATATTTAGATTTTAGGGAAAGTCTAGAAAATGATTTTAAAGTAGACCCCCCCACGAAGGTATTCTGCAGCAGATCTTGAGGAACCCTTGAGAAGATAAGATCCCTAAGTAAAAAAACCTGCTAAAAGTCAAATTTTCCTCTTCTCAGAACAAAAAAATCAGTTTCCAGATGCCATCTTTTGACATCATGAGACTACTTTTTTTATTACTTAAAAAAATCAAAACGCACCTTGGGATAGAGATAAATATTTTCTAAAGGATAGGCCAAGTCTTTTAGCAACATTATCTGCTTGAGTCAAAGATCTGGGGGAGGCTTCAGAAGTCACCCATGTGGGCCCCTAGAGGCTAGACCCAGACTCAGGTTAGTGGCCAGGTCCAAAAAAGGACCCCAGAAGCATTCACAAGAACGAGCATCTGAACTCAGAGCCGCGTGGTGGGACATCAGAGAACAAAGAAGGAAAACTCTGAACACACCTTCTCATTAAAAAAGTGTGGCTTGCTGCCTCGACGTTAGCACAGATGCTGGCCTGGGGATCTTCCTCTACATGATACTGTGGGGGTTCAGAACGAACCACCCCAAGATGTGCCTCAGTGGTATGTAGGTTACTTTGAGCTAAAGGCAATTTTAGCTTCAGACTCAAAAACCTTTGGCCCCTCCCTTTAACTACCACCTATAGAGCAGGGCAAAGCTCTGAAGGTCTGTTCTCCGTATCACCCTGCAATGACCCTTTGAAGCCCCCAAGGTGCATTACCTCATCCCTAGCTCAGGATGGCTTATACACCTCAGCCCCCCCTTTCTGTCTCTGAACCTCTTCTGCATGTGGGTCTCTGACTCTCTTATGTATGTGGTGTTCCAATACATATGTGCGTATTACATTGGGTTATTTTCTCTTACTAATCTGCCTGTCTATTTAATGATTAGACCAGCCAAAAGAATCTCGAGGGCAGAGGAAAGTTTGTTCCTTCCCCACAATCCTGATGTAACAAAAGCAGGATAACTTAAGATCTCTCAAGGGTTACTGTGAACCTATCAAAAGCAAAATTAAGTCAATCATTTTCTTTTAAAAAATATAAACTTTGCTAGCTTGATGAAGAAAAATCTGGGACTTCCAGGCAAGATGGAGACACAGGAAAATGCAGTACTTGCCTCCTTCCACAACCACTGAACTGCACAACAACCATCATTCAGAGCCACCTGAAATCTGGCTAAATGGAAGTCCTACAACTAGGTAATTAGCCACATCAAGATTGGTTGGAGGGGTGGAGATGGGAATGAGATGGTCCCATGCCCATGAGGGGCAGATAAAAACTAGGAGGGGTGTCTCCGCTGTAGAGAGCCCCTAAGGAGTGAGGGGTCCCAGCCCCACACCAGGCTCCCATCCCAAGGCTCCAATGCCAGGAAGAGAAGCCCCCATAACTTCTGGCTGTAAAAACCAGCAGGGATTGAGGCTGAGAGAGACAGAGGGCTTCAGGAGTCCCAGGCAGTTCCTCTTAAAGGGCCCACACATAGATTTACCCAGACACTCACTTCCTCTGAGCTCCAGTGACTGGGCAGCTTGAAAGGCATCAGAGACATATGGGAAGGAACCAAACTGTCTGGCTCTGGTAGGAGAGCTGGGAGGGCAGCTTTCTCCCAAAGAAGTGTTAGCAGAGGCCTCACAGAGCCAGCAGATCGGCACCATATCTAGTGATTCCCTGAGGCCCCACCCTACCCAACTTTCAGATCCATCCAAGCTGTTTCCAGTGGCTTTTCTGTAAGGATGGCCTGTCTTGGCTCATGCTTCAGATTTTCCAAAAAAATATCTCAAACAAGGAGCAGCTGACCTCAGTATGCCTTGTACCTCTCACTAAGTGGTCCCAGCCCCGGCACTAGCATCAGTTAGTTTCAGTTCATAACTTGGCCTCACCTGGGCACCTCCAAGGCCAGCACAAATAGCAGCTATCTGCAGATTGCTTTGTAGCTCATGCCAGGTGGCCCCAGGCTGAACACAGATGGCAGCTGACCTTGGCCTGCACCTCCTGGGAGGCCCCAGAGCCAGTGCATCCAGTGTTCAGCTTCAGACCACTTTGAAGTATCACTGCCCAACCACCTCCACAAGCGACACACTCAAGGGGTGGGCTGAGTGGGCACCAGAGCCCTGCAGAAGGAAGTCCTGCTCTGCAGAATTAGCCCCTGCACAGCCAAAACTCCACAGTGGTCAGAGGTTGGTGGTTGCAGCCAGTACTTGAAGCTGATAAGCCTGGGGGTAAATACCTCCCATTGATGTGCCAACAGCAATCAAGGCTCAACTACAATAGGAGGCACACCTCAAATACCAAGCTTGGGTGATTGGGGAGGCTGTGCCACTGGATCCTACAGAGCACCTACTAAATTAGGCCACTCTACGAAGCCTGGGAGACATAACAGCTCCACCTAATACATAGAAACAAACACAGGGAAGCTGCCAAAATGAGGAGACAAAGAAACATGGCCCCAGCGAAAGAACAGAACAAAACTCCAGAAAAAGAATGAAGTAAAATTCTCTGGCCAGGTGGCTCAATTGGTTGAAGCATCATCCCATACACCAAAAGGTCATGGGGTCAGTTCCTGGTCAGGGCACATACCTAGGTTTTGGTTTCTATCCCCAGTGAGGGTGTGTGCAAGAGGCAGCCAATCAGTGTTTCTCTCTCACATTGATGTCTGTCTCTCTCTCTCTTCTCAATAAATATCCTTGGGTGAGGATTAAAAAAAAAAAAGAACTAAGCAAAATGGAGGCAAGGAATCTACTAGATGCAGGGTTCAAAACACTGGTTATAAGGAACTTAGTGAGAACTTTAACAACAACAAAAAAGACCAGTCAGAAATGAAGGATACACTAACTCAAGTAAGAAGAATTTACAGGGAATCAACACATGAAGCCAAGAATCAAATCAGTGATTTAAAATATAAGGAAGCAAAAAACACCCAATTAGAATAGCATAAAGAAAAAAGAATTAAAAAATGAGGATAGTACTTTAAAGAGCCCCTTGGACAACTTCAAGTACACCAACATTTGCACTATGGGGATGCCAAAAGGAGATGATAGAAAGCAAGAAATTAAAAACCGACTTGAAAAAATAATGACATAAAACTTCTCTCTAACTTGGTGAAGAAAACAGACATGCAAGTCCAGGGAATCCCAAAAAGATCATCCCAAAGAGGCCCACACCAAGACACGTAATTAAAATGCAAAAGGTTAAAGTCAAAGAGAGAATTAAAAACAGCAAGAGAAAACCAGTTAGTTCCCTATGCTAATTTCTCAACAGAAACTCTGCAGTCGAGAAGAGATTAGCAAGATATATTCAAAGTGATGAAAAATAAGGACCTACAACCAAAATTACTCTGCACAGCAAAGCTATCATTTAGAATCAAAGGGGAAATAAAGAACTTCCCAAACAAGAAAAAGCTAAAGGAGTTCATTACCACTGAACTATTCTTATAAGAAATGGTAAAGGGTCTTCTTTAAGAAGAATAAAAAGAGATAAAAATATAAATAACAAAATGGCAATAAATATATGTAGATATCAACAATTAGTTCTTTAATAAAAGCAAAATAAACAAGCAGAACAGATCATAGATACAGAGAACATTTTGATGGTTGCCAGAGGGGAGGGGAGCTGGGAGGATGGGTGAAAAAGGTGAAGGGATTAAGAAGTACAAATTGGTTGTTTCAGAATGGCCATAGGGATGCAAAGCACAGAGTAGGGAATATAGTCAATCACATTCTAATAACTATGTATGTTGTGAGATGGGTATGAGATTTATCAGGACAATCACCTGGTTATGTAATATCCAATCGCTGGAGTGTACACCTAAAACTGATATAATAATGTATGTCACCTTAAAAAATACAAATGATTTTAAAATGGAAACAAAAATTTTTTTAAATCCCCTTAAGATCCAAAAATCTGCAAAATAAATAATCTACTTACTGAACAATTAATAATTGTGAAAAATAAAAATCAGGAGACATTTAAGTGCCATTCATGCCATGTAAGCCATCTTTATTTAAGCTGACAGTTCTTCTGAGTCCATGAAATTGTTTACTTTCTTTTAGCATTCCCACACAAAGTGGGCTGTATTAAACAGATGTAGAATGCGGACAGCGGCCGCCTCAATCAGTTAAATGAACTGTATTATGTATTCTATGGGTCAGACTCTACCTTGGTGATACCACCAACACTTATCAGAAAACTCAAGAATTAGAAATAGATCATACAAATTATCTACCCTGGCCCCATTGCCTTACAGAGAAAGAAACTATAACTTACAGGTCAGAATACTAAATCTAGATCATCCAAATAATTCATTGATGATAAAGAATTATAACCCAGTATACAATTCCTAATCCAGCTCTCAAAGAAATTAAGGCAAAACAGCAAGAATAAATACAAGGATACGAACAGGATAATATATGTTACTTAAACAATTTTTTAAGAGATTCAGACACTCAGGCAAACAGGATGAGAATATGTCATTGAGGAGACCAGGAAGTACTGAGATGGCACAAGGACCTCTTAATAGGCACTCAGCACACCACACAACAAAAATCCATAACCTCTTCTGTTCTCTTGCTGCTTTACATCCATAGATATTGTATTATATTTTATCAGAATTACCCTGTGATTTAAAAATATTCTGGTGCTTTCCCTAAATATTTCCCTAAAATATTTAGATTTTAGGGAAAGTCAAGGCATACTGAGATTCTAGAGTTTTGCTTCTTCGTAATAAATATAAATATAAATAATTATTTAGAAATAAGAGTACCTGGGGACTGAAATCACACCAGCTCCTGGTTTAGTAGGATTACATCTCATTTTCACAGCGGTTGACCGGCCATTAACACAAGATGTTGTAGTCGTAGAAGACCTATTATAAAGCAAATATCATTTTACAAAATACGTATGACACAGATTACAAGGACAAAAATAGCCTGCATATAACTCCTATGCTATATAAACAAATGAAAGAGAAAAATATATCAAAGTTGATGAATTTAGAATTTTATTTTTTGGTTTTCTTGTGATACTTGATTTTATTGTATTTTTAATTTAATCTTTATTATATTTTTCCATTACTATTTAGTCCCGTTATACACCTTCCCCCCAGCAATCATCACTCTGTTGTCCATGTCTATGAGTCCTTTTTCCTTTTGGTTCAATCGATCCACCCCCTAACCTCCTCCCCCCGACTAGCTGTCATATAAATTGATGTCATTTACTTTCACTGACTGTGAAAAGTTAACTATTTTCCAAGGTAAAGTGATAAGCTACCAACAAGGTGTTTAGGAAAGATTTTGTAACTATAATCAAAAGAAATTTTAAAGGAAAAAATGTCATATCCATTCGGGCTGATGTTTTGATGTATAAATTACAAATAATTACTGTCTACACAATAGAGTCTACTGCCTAATTTAAAACATTATATACATGAGAGAAATTATATAAGGCTTTCAAACTATTTCATGTTTCCTACTTTTTACTTAGGCTTTTTAAGAATCAATTACTGCTTATTAATTATAAACTTCTATGCTAGAACCCTGATGACATTTTTTGATTTAAAAAAAACTGTCAAGGGAAACAGCATCTCTACTTACTTATAAAAGAAATGCACATCTGGTATTTGGCTTGGTGAAACTGGGAACATATCTTCTTTTATATTAATATTTTGCAATGCGGTTTCAATTGTCACTCCTAGATGACAATAAAAAAGATACTACTGAGCTATATGGGAAAATTAAGTTTATTTAGTCTCTATATCTGAATAAAAAATAGCTTTACTGTCACACAGTCATTTTACAAGAAATATTGTATTAAATTAATGCATTCATGGTAAGAATAAGAAACTTTCCACAAAAGAGAGAAAGGAAACTTTCCAAAGTCTGTACAAAATATAAAAGATTCTACTCCCTAGCTTTGTAATTTTGCTCAAGTCACTTTACTTCCCTGGATCTTATGTCCTGAATCTTTTCTAAAATATATTTTATTGACTATGGTATTAGAGTTGTCCCCATTTTTCCCCGTTTACCCCCTTCCACCCAGTACCCCCATTCCTTTCAGCACCCCCCCTCAGTTCATGTGCATATGCCATGCATATAAGTTCTTTGGCTACTCCATTTCCTATGCTGTTTTTAATCTCTCCCTGTCTATTCTGTAACTACCAACTTGGACTTCTTAACCCCTGCACCTCTTCCTCTATTCTCCCTCTTCCCCTTCTAGCCGATAACCCTCTGAATGATCTCCATATCTATGATTCTGTTCCTGTTCTGCTTGTTAGCTTAGTTTGTTTTTTAAATTCAGTTGTCAATAGTTGTAAATTTATTGCCATTTTAATGTTCATAATTTTGATCTTGTCTTTCTAATATAATTCTCTTTAACATTCCATATAATTATAGCTTGGTGATAATGAACTTTAGTTTTACCTTGTCTGGGAAGCATTTTACCTGCCCTTCCATTCTAAATTAAAGCTTTGCTGGATAGAGTAACCTAGGTTGTAGGTCCTTTTCATAACTTTTAATACTTCTTCCCAATCCTTTCTTGCCTGCAAAGTTTCTTTTGAGAAATGAGCTGACAGACTTATGGGAACTCCTTTGTAGGAAACTATCTGCTTTTCTCTTGCTTCTTTTTACCGTTTTAATTATGATGTGGTTGGTGTGGTCCTCTTTGGGTCCAACTTGTTTGGGATTCTCTGTGCTTCCTGGATTTGTATGTCTATTTCCTTCACCAAATTAGAGTTTTCTTTCATTATTTTTTCAAACAAGTTCTCAATTTCTTGCTCTTCCTCTCATCTTCCTGGCACTCCTATGATTCAGATGTTGGTATGTTTGGAGATGTCCCAGAGGCTCCTTAATCTATCCTCATTTTTTAAAATTCTTTTTTCTTTTTCTTTTTGCTGTTCTGATTGAATGCTTTTTTCTTTCTTATGTCCCAACTCACTGATTTTATTCCCAGCTTCATCCTCTCCACTGTTGTTTCCCTGTAGATTTGTCTTTATTTCACTTAATGTAACCAGTAAAGGACTCCTAGACAGAGGTGCCTTATAAAGCCCACTGGAGCTGATGCTGCAGAAAATGGTTCCACCTGACCCAGAGTCCCCATGGGGAAACTAAGGGGAGGGGAAAGCAGAGGTGGAGGAACCGGCGACCGCACAGGTGCACTCCCAGAGGGGCAATTAATCCAACTCTGCATTCCACTTCAAGAGCCACCTGTGCTGAATCTTTAAAATGCATGCAATATTTAGGGGATCTCTAAAGTCTCTTCCAGTTCTAGCATTTGAACAATCCACTGTGATAGCACTCAGCCTCTGGCGAGTTTTGTTGAATGAGTTGGCCTACTTTGTTAATATTGCTTTTCATTCGCATTTATTACAGGCATTATTTGAAAAAAAGTTCTTGTACCCTAATAATTTCAAAAAATAATCCCCAAATTTGCTTAATCTAAAAGGAAGGCATTTTCCCCTAGGCAAAATGATGACAGAGCTAAAATGCAAGCAATAACAGAAGCAGTTGCTTTGGACACAGTTTAGATGCTGATTGCAAGCTTGGCAACTGACCTTGGTGCTGAAAAGTAAAGCCAAATTCCTCTGGAATCTATAGCAACGGTTCCCAAATCTGGATCCATAATAGAATCATCTAAGAAGCTTGTTAAATTGTTGGATTGTTATATGCTTTATTAGGTTCCTAATCCCTACCCCAGAGGTCTAATGAACTTGATCCCTAGGAATTACTAATCAGGGTCCTGAATCCTTCTTAAAACTTTCTTATGTTATTGGGAATAAATCTCAGCACATTCACCTTTGCTACTTGTCACCAGCTTACCTCTAGTATAAAAAAAAAATGATGAACACTGATGGCAGATATTATGACTTAGGTTTATGTTGTGTCTGTTTACTGTTCTTTTGTTTATAGTTTTGGTATCATAAATTATACTGTCTCTTAAACTCCTAGAGAATCTGATATAAGGCAGACTCTCAGAAAACAAAACACATATCACATGAGTTAATACATAAATTCAGAAGCTTCTTGTATTCACTGAGGTTAACTAACACCTCCTTTGTAGGGGCTTTTTTAACCATGTTACAAAGTAATGATTTAGAATTACCTGCAGTCTTTAATCATCAATGATACACACCAATGCAATGACAAGTTATCAGTACCATAGATTTTTTTAAAAATTCATGCATGCAGATATGAACAAAATGAAACTTACCTAAAAATGTGTCTGCCAGAATGATGGATTGTGATGACAAGGCTGCCCGGAAGCCCTTACTTTCTGAAGGAATGATAGTCGACTGGCATACAAATGCTCCTACCAGATTTGTGTAATCATCTGACCCTGCCACCATTTCCTTTACTGTAAAGTCTGTTATATTGTTGGTACAGAGAGCCATCTTCTCCCCCTAGAAAAACAAAGTCATAAGGAGGATTTTTGAAGGTCACTCTCTAAACTGGATCCCAGCTAGCAGGTGACTCTAGAAGAGCAGCAATTCTCTCCTCACTGCAGTTCTGATTTATTAGATCTGGTGTGGGGCCCAGTCACCAGTAATTTTTGAAAGCTCTTGAGGCGATGCCAATGTTCCACCAGGGTTGAGAGTCACTAAAGTTATCATGAATATACTAATTCAAGGCTGCATTCCTCTTCCAGCTACAAGCAACATTTGTGCTGGGTGAAAGCCATCTAACTTAAGGAGTAAAAGTCATCTACGAACTCCTCAATTTATAGGATAACAGTGCATACAAAGAGACCAGAATGTTGATGATGGTTTTAATGCCAAGAAAAAAGACTTGCCCTTCCTCCTCCTTCACAGGCTGATGTGTACCAAAAAGGCAATGCAAAGGCTAAAGAAGAAAGCATAAGAGCCATATTGCTGCAATTCCTAGGACAACATCTAAATTTTAAACAGCTGGTCACTGCAAGTGTCTTTATTCACATACTCTTAGGTTTAATTACATGTATCTGCTCAACTACACAGTAAGTTGAAGAGAATACAAAACATTACTTTTTTTAATCATTTGGAGGGTAGTTGGAAGATATAATTTATAAAAACTGGAGGACTCTTTAGATATAGTATGTTTTGATATACTATTGTTCCAATGCAAAGGACTTTAGCTTGCTCTATAATTTCTGAGAATAAATGTACAAAGGAAAATAGGAACACTATTTTATTGGTCTTAGATATAGAGTGTGCACAGGCGGGCATAAAGAAAAGAATAAGGATTTCGCTTTGCTAATGCAGCTGGCAATCATGACCTACGAAATTTTCTCCCTCCACCAAGTCTCAGCACTATACAGGTGAAACATATTTTTACTAAGCTTAAATTAAACTGTTGAAGTCAAAGGAAGAGAAAAATGGAAAAGAGAGAAACTACTGAGGCAGGAAAGAGGAAAACAACACTAAACAAAAAGGAGTAAGAATATAAAGAAAAAAAAGATGACAGAGGAGAAGAGAGAATATGGAAGAAAAAACAATGGTAATACAGGAATAAGACTAGGAAAAAGTATGATATATAATGGAATTAATCTCATTCACTGTTTCACACAGTATTAAACATAATAGGTACTTAGTATATATTTACTTAGTGAGTAATTGACTAATGAATTGAGTATGTAAAATTAGGGCAGGACAAATGTCATACCATGAAAAATTTGTAGAATTTTTTTTGTTTGAAAACTTCTGTGATCACCATATTCCTTATTATCTCCTTTGTACAAAGTTTGCCACAACACCACATAATAAAGACCATTAGAGATACGGGAGTTAATAAAGAGACATGGAGGAATGGCCTTATATAGGCATATATGTCCCAAACCCAACCTTGTCTGCCCTTAAAAATATTGAACATATAGTTCTGTAACTCTCCCCATTACCAATGTCAATTAAAGTTCTGTCTCTTCTCACAGAAAATAAAATCCCATTATTTATTTGCAGAAGCTACCTGATCAACTGACATTTGTCCCCTGCTTAACTCCTTTTTATTTTTGGACAAACTTCCTCTTGGATGTCTTTTTCTTTTTATAACACATTATTGACAATATTATAAACAACAGTAAACCTTTCTCAAATATAGGAGGGATAACAAGCCTGAGCCACCTTTATAAAAATTAAAGAACCTGAAGCATTTACATCATAGCTCCAAGCTTTGGTGTTCAAGAGACTGGGTGAGCACTTTGAGGGACTGAGAACCAGACAAGGTTGCCTTTGCTGGAGGAAGCTGCCAACCAACATGCTAGGAGACAACAGCGGATGTAAGCAATCAAAGCTCCATTTCTGACATTTGGGGGTTTCCTCAGAGATTTTACTGAGCCATCAATATAGAAAATACCAACTCAATCTGAATTGAAATATAGTCCCACCTCACCTTGACAGCCAGGACTCACCTCGTGCCCACATAAACTAATGTTGAAGAAGTGGAAATATTTTGTTCCTTTCGAGGTAAAGCTGGGGCCATTCATTAACGAGCCCACACTGCTGAGGTTGCTGAAGTCATAGTGCAAACTCTGATTTTCTTTCTCATGGTAGAAAAAGCAGTCACTATAGCAAACTGAGTGGTCCTTCGATTAAGAAATGTAAAAACAATTAATATAGCAGATAAGGAAGTATTAATATGAAAAATGTTTCAAAAAATTTAGGTTTAAAAACTATTTCAGTAATTTCATCTTAGTTATGATATATTTTACCATAATAATACAGAGAATTTCTAAATGCTAATTAGATTTTCTTAGGCAAAGCTTAGAAGATTCAGAAATTTTTAAAGCAGTTATTCCAAGGTTTGTATCTTGCAGAAAGGTATTTTAATACATAGTCAAAATTCCCTGTTATGTCCACTTAAATCAACAATAAAGCTGCTTTCTCCTTCACCCATAATAATATAGCATCAACCTTTGCCCTTAAAATGTTATGACACATTTGTTGTTCTCCATATACTCCTACAGCCAACCTATAGAGGTTGTTTATTTGCTCTGCCTTAACAGAACACACAAGAAATCAATTTTTATATTTTTGGAAAGCATTCTTATTTCAGTGCTTTTCTTAATATTTTATGTTCCCAAAAACTAGCACTTACATGGAGCATATTTAGTAAGTGCTCAATAAATGTAAAAGGAGAGAAAACAGGAAAGGGAATGAAAAAGTTACTTATAAATGTGACTAACAACCTTGCAGCTCCTGAAGAAGCATTACAGGGAACTTCAGAGTTGCTCTACTGAAATGTGCTTCCCCAGGGATGACTGAAGTATGATACCCTCACTTACCCGAGTGCTTCTACTCCCAGGCCCACATGGAATACAAGCCTCCTTGCCATAGACCTGATGTATGGACAGGTAGGTGTCAGGTGGACACTCCTTGCACTGGTTGGTTTCTTTCTCAATGTAGTGGCCTGGGGGGCAGGGGACACACGATGAGCCCGACTGTTCAGAACCGAGGGCACAGGCACGGCATGAGGACGCCACCCCATCAACTGCATTAGTGGCAGTGATAGAATAAATCTTCACCATGTCATTGATGAACCGTCTATTCTAAAAAGAGAGCAGAAAGTAATGACTTCTGCTTTGGGGCTTAATTGGACAACCAGATTGTTTTATGTTGATCACCAAAATTAACAGAGTGTTCCAGCCTTACAGTTTGTAATTAACAATAGATTACTTTTTTTGGTTATTTTTTTTCTTTAAAAATCAAATCTTCACATTAGAGGTGAAATTCCATAGTGACGGAGTTCCAAGAGTTTTGTCACAGTCATCATAAGATATTTCAAAACTGGTACTAACTGGGCATATTTTATAGACTTTGTATCTGGAAGAACTGGTACGGTTTAATAGAAAAGCAACTTTCTCTCTCATCATCGTCTACTCAGATGTGAGCCCAGGTCTAATGATACAATAGGACCCTGAGAGTGGCAGGGCGGGAGCCTTGGACTAGCCTCGGAAGACTAAGACTCACCCTAACACCAACTGTGCACTGCTGATGCAATCACGTGACACCTTTGGGCCTTCCTCTCTCTCTCTCTCTAGTACTTTCCCTAACCAGCATTCTCTGACTTCTACTGAAAGGATTTGGAACAGAACAAGAATCTGTGGCTTACTATACTTTTCCTTGTTGAGATACTGGGTCAGTTAAGGTGTTGTTTTTACCAAGCAGTGGGCATCACCCAATCAGTACAGGGCAGCATTACCCTAGACTACTGAACATTTTTTGTTTGGAGCAAAGGCAAAAAGAAAGCAAGGGAGCATCCCATAGCACGTTCATGCCATGCATGATGGTAACCTGAACACTCATAAATAGCAAGTGGAGTCAAGTGAAATATGGGGAATGGGTTCTCCAGTGAAAGTCTCCAGAGAAAAGAGAAAATGCTACGTCTGCCACCACAGTTTTAAGGCAGCTCCTGAACAAGTGGTTTACCTTGTTCTCTCCTTGGGAAGATCACATATGGTCTCCACAAAAATAATTGTACTTTTACCATTGAAACATACAATGAAATTTACTAAGGGGAGGATTAAGGTCTACTCTAGCAGGGAAAGCAAAAGAGGGTAAATAACTCAGTGTGTTAACCTAATCAAGTATCCATACACATTCTCCAGACTATAAAGGAGACATTACTGTGATGAAATTATAAACCAACATTTGTTAATGGCTCCTGGACAAATGTCTGATTATTCAGATGAAGAAGAGGAAGAAGGTCACCAGCCTCCTCAGTCTGAGAGAGCTTTTTAAATAACTACAAAATGAGATGTTCTTTCTCTTAAGCTTTCAGTAACTGTAACTGTTCACGGTGTAGAACAATTTAAAGAGTCATTGTATTATTCCATTTCATACATTCTTGCTCTCAAAAAATATAAACATTTTTATACCAACCCATTTTTATAACCAAATGCTTGATTCCATCTTGGAAAAAAGCTATCTTTTCCTTCAGATCTGAGTGGTCGCTTTCTATGAATCTCCCCTGGAGGCGTTTTCTTTGTATTTAAAAAAAAAACAACAAAACTTGGAACTTACATCTTGACCCTGATTAGTTCTCTGGAATGCCCATGTAAAAGTAAAGGTTGCATTCTTGAAGATGATGTGGGTGTAAGCTTGTTTTTCTTTGGTTCCACCCCATGATTCCACCACGTTAGTACTTTTTCTATTAATATCCTAAAAAATATATACCAAAAAGCACAAACTCAGTATTAATATATATGTGTATTCATTACAAATTTGTGTTTGTATTTAGAGCATTACCTGGAGGGTTTATAAATATGCATCTGCAGAGTATGTAGTCCTAGAATTCTCAAAACTTTCCTTCAAGTCTACACAAGCACTCACTAACTTAATGAGTACAATATATCAACCACATTGTCAATATAACCTGGAAGAGGTTCTGAATCACAGTATGTTTAAGGGGTGTGTGTGTGTGTGTGTGTATGTCTGTGTAGCTTGGAGAAATACACTTAGAAGAGGAAATATAATTCCTTAAACTTCTCACAGTAATCTTCATAAAATGACAATGCTTTCCTTTTTTATCTTTTTTCCTGGAAGATTCTGATAGGCAGCTCTTGCACAGAAATTACAAGTTCTCCCTGATTTATACTTGCAACTTCCAGACTCACCCAAGTGCAGATTAATCAGAATGTTATTTTATGTTCTTGAAACATTCTTTTGCTTCCAGTTTAATTTCAATAGAATTAATGTTTTATCTTATTTCCTTAGCTAAATTCAGTATTTAGAATACCATATAAATGTGTAACATTCCAACCAATACATTGTCATTAACATGGTTAGAAAGCAAATATAATAAATCAACCAAATAATGTAATATACATCTAATTTATTTGAAATGAAAACCAAGACCAACCCTGAATTTTCTTACTAGTCTTCCCTGCAGAACACCTAATACATGACTTAAGAATTTGGATGGGCTTCTGTTGATTATCTTGGATGTTGACAATACAGCGGCATGAACTCAAGACATGTCTCTTTCTTTCTCTGATGTAAACATAGGAGTCAAACATGTTAAAAAAGCAGTCAAATATGCTATAAAGAGGTATATGTTGCATTCACACTACAGATAGAAAGAAGAGAATGTGCTTTTCATACATTACAGAATTCCCCACATTACCCAACAACCAAATCATTGCACATGCCACTTCCTAAAAGGTGTCCATAGTATACAGATAGTGCTTTCTTAAACACCACTTTTCTGGATATTTATTCCAATAATAAATGGAATTTATTGCATTACTGCAACTAATACCACTTTATATTTGTAAAACATTACGCAATTTTGAAAGCATTTTTACATGCTAATTAACTGATACCTCAAAAAAATCCTGTGAGAAGACCAAATCACACAGAGAGACAACTAACAGATTCTGCTATGAGCTAAAACTCTAATATGGATTTACCAAAATAAATAATTGGTAAAAATAATTTTAATTAATTTTTAATTAACTTATAATTTATAATTATCATTTACCTCAGTAGTACTTGGTCAAATGAGAAAGACAAAAATAAATTTCTTTCACATAATTAAAATAAGGTTTTCTCAAAGGTTTTTAGGAGCACAATGGAGTTGTTAATTTTACATAAGAGAATAAAAGAAATCTTTCAAAAGCAGTGAAATTTGAGCTGCCCTTGAAGTATGAATGGCAGTTCACAAGACAAAGAAGCAAAATGAAGAATGTCATTCTAACCTAGAGTGCCAAGGCAAGGGAAATGAGAAAGTACAAGGTATTCCACTAACAAACTCAGGAGATCTAAAGAGGGATGAACACTAACAGTAGGTTGGTAACAGACGGTAGGCGAAGAGTGCAAAAAGCCATCTAGATGTCATGCTAAAGAATTTCAGGCCCTGACCAGATGCCCAATGGTTAGAGCATTGTCCTGATATGGCCAAGATTGCAAGTTTCATCCTGGGTCAGGACACATACAAGAATCAACCAATGAATGCATAAATAAGTGGAATAACAAAACTCTTTCAGTCTCTCTCTTTTTCTCTCTGTGTCCCCTACCTTCCCTCTCTTTCTCTCTAAAATCAATTAAAAATTATGTGTATTTATAGGCTATTGATTCTCAAACTTCAGCAGGTTATCAGAACTACCGTCAAGGCTTGCTAAACATGGAGAACGATGGGCCCCATCACCAGAGTTTCTCATTAAGACTAGGATGGGGCTGAGAAATTTGCATCTCTGACAAGTTCTCAGGTGATGCCTGGTCCAGGGGCCACACTTCAAGAATTGTTACCATAGCAAAAAAAAAGCTACCAAGGGTAAGGGGGTAGATTTGATATGGGTGCCTCTACTATTGTTTTTATATTTATAAAGATATTTTGACAGAAACAGGAATATGAGAATGGAGATAAGAAGACTGGGTAGAAGAATACTGTTAAAAGATAATAGGAATCTAAATTTCAGCAATGACTCTGAGAATGAAGGACTAACATAAAAGAAATAAGGAGACAGAGCTGGGCGGAGTGAAGCTTTAATGAGTATTTGTGGTATAATATAGATGGATATGTTGAAGATTATTCATGTTCTCCTTTTACACTACAAGTCTTTTTTTTCAGAACAAAATAGTCTGCCTTTATTTGAGCTTTTAGTAATCACAAATATTTAAATGCCCATATATCTTGTATGTCATGGAGGAAATTGTTAATGGACTGTTAACTAGCTATTGAAGAATCTTTAGAAAAACAAAAACAAATCATGTCTATAAAGTCATTACTTAAATATAATGCTAAAATCTTAGGCAACAACCTTCTAATACCCACATGAGGTCTGGTGAAATTTTAAGCTAAGAGTTGAGATTTATAGGACATCTGGAAAAAAAGGGGTAAAATTATGACATGTACATAGTAAAGTCCTTTGTTTATGATTAAATTTAACAAGGAACTGTTTTCTTTCTTCTGAGTGTCTACAACATGACTGTCTTCCCTCACTTATTAATACACATTTTTTCCCTCCTGATGGCTTGAACTGCTGAATGGTTATTAGAGGAAAATTTTAATTCTGCTGATGGAATATTTTTATGAAGAAATTTTCTACCAGATTAATATTCTCTGACTTCTGTCAGTTGCCCAGGCCCCCTTACTCAATCCTCCCCACGAGGACTCTGTGCATATCACTGCACAATTCTTACTGATTTCTTTAAACATTTCTTAATATTCTTGGAAGGCCCTATGAATGGGAAGAAAAATAGGATTCTAATCCCAACTTGCATAAATAAATTCACACTTGAAAGAGAATACTAAACTTTTAGATTTCTAAATCTGCCTCTGAAAGCCACTCTTTCACTTACCACCATGAAGTACAGGACACAGTCAGCAGAACAGAGGGTCTCAAAGACAAAGGTTATTCTTCCCAGTTCAGAACCCATGGCTCCAGTCATAGAGGTTGGTGGTCTATTTGACAGATTAAATTTACAATATTATACTGTGTTCTGAACACAATCTGGAACAAAATTGTCACTTTTCTCATTAAGCTGAAAGCCATGCTCCTCTTCCCTTAATCTGCTGCTCTCCTCAAACCCTTTCCTCACTCAATCTCTGCATGGCCATACTCTGTGTTCTAAGCGGGGTCTCCACAACAATGCTATTATGCTTGAATCTCCTGGTATCAATGCTACCATCCATCCCAAAGCAAGAAAATATACCTACTGGGATATTTCAACATTGGAGACTAAAATAAAAATGACATTTTAAAACTTGTAGCATACTGTCCTGGCTGGCGTGGCTCAGTGGACTTGAGCACCAGCCTGTGAAACAAAGGGTCACAGGTTCGATTGCCAGTCAGAGCACATGCCTGGGTTGCGGACCAGGTCCCTGGTGAGGGGCACGCAAGAGGCAACAACATGTTGATATTTCTCTCTCTCTCTTTCTCCCTCCCTTCCTCCCTCTAAAAATAAATAAATAAAATCTTTAAAAAATAACTTGTAGCATGCTACTTTACAGGGAAAACATAAATACATAAACCATAAGATACTACTGCAAATAACCTGGACTAAGACATCTTCATTAAGCATTCAAGAATCATGATGGTTGTAACATTTGTATAAAACATTAAAAACTTTCAGCTTGATCTAATTAATACATAATTAATACTATAGTTTCTCAATCACTGATTTGATACATATTCTTGCCTATGTTGTCTTACTTGCTATTTGCTAAGGATATCACTATATTGTTATATTTTTTAAAGGCAGTCCTACTCCTTCTATTTCTATAGGGAAACAGGCATGAGGATTCTTACGGAAGAAAATCACAATTGCTTTTCCTTACTTAAATCCTGGGATATGCAAGTTTAAAATCAGGTAATCATTATCAGAACCTCCAGCCCCACTCTGGATATGATCTCCAGCCACCTCCCAGCCTGGAAATGATAAAGGTCATCTTTGTTAGTAAAAATTCAATTAATGATTACTAATAATTTTTAAGTAAGTTTAAGAAAAGACCATTAGTGTTTACATTCAAAGTTAGAAATACTCCAAAAGAAGTCCTTATTTTCAAACTGCAGTTGCAATTGCACATAGAGGTAAACTCCTACATGTCAATAGAGACATTCCATATGATTCCCCAGAAATAAACAAATAATGCATTTTTTTTGCATAAAACTTATTTAATGAGAAAACTAATATCAGTTTTATCAGTGAGGCACGATTATCTTTTTTAAACTAAAACAGCTGGTCTTTATCCATTCTAATACAGTAAGAAGGAAAATCCTAATCTCCAGGCACCAATGAAAAGTAGAAACCTCAAATTATTTAATGAAGAAGATTTGAGGTGTGGAGTTGTTTCTTATAATTTACTATATTGTTGTTCTCAATTTTAACCTTTGTGCTGCTTTCATTCACTTATTCATTCACTCAGTTGGCATTTACTGAGTGATAGGAACCACGATATGTACCTAGGGATAGAAAGACAAGGCTGTGTTCTCCCTCACTGAAGAGTTAGCAGAATATGAGAGAGACACACATACTAACAATGGTCATCAGCATGGGGTAATACTGATGCATATAGAAGGTGTTGAGGGGTGGTCTGCACTTGGCATAAAAACAATTAGCATACCATAGGCTGGTTTGGCCACAATATAATAAAGAGAAGCATCCCCCATATACCATCAAGCAAGGTTATTAATTAATGGCAATGGTTTGGCATTGACACTTCCATCTCTCAAAGAAAATGTCAACATCTGCTATTTCAATAAGTATAAAGGAGAAATTGAGAAAGGGATTGGTATCAGTGCTAGAGTAGTGATTTGGCAGTCTTTGAAATATTATAATCAGCAGTTTATAGAAAGGTCATGTGTTGAAGGTACATAAACTAGTCCTAAAAAAAAAATAAGCACTAATCTACTTGTTTCTGAGAGAAATGCCAATTGTTCTACTGTCTAAACGTTCATGAGGTTAAAAAGAGAAACAAGCAGGTATCAACTCCTACTGTTAAGGGATGAACAGTGATAAAACAGTCTGATTCAGTAGGACACCAGGCTTTTGACTGCACTGTAAATAATGGAAAAGGCATTTAGGTTAGGCAAACTTGTGTCTGGAGTTAGAGACAGAGATTCCCAAATGGAGGACATCTATACCAAGAGAGGGAGGACACAAGAAAATTATAGAAAAAACCTGAATAACAAACACTAGCTGGAGAGAAGCCTTATAATCAACAACAGACAGAAGAAACCACTTCACCACAACGTGACTGGTAGGGAATGCAAAGACTCTGGAGGGCTGTCTGGGCTCTCACAGGTGGCAGCTGAAGATCCAAAGGGATATTTCAGTGGCTGAGAAACTCCCCCTAAGAATTGTGGGGCCTAAATCATAAGCTGGTCTCTCCAGCCTAGAGCACCAGAACCAGAAAAAGAACCCAAATAACATTCAACTGTGAAAAGCAACAAAGTTTCTATCTTCTAGGGAGAGAAGGCTAGAAATACAGAGAGCCTATTAAAGTCCAATACAAAAAAAAAAAATTGTTTGCAGCCACTTACCCTGGGCTCCAGCAGAGGGAGGGCAGATTGGACTAGAGCCACATGAGGAGAGTCTAGGGTTGGTGGCTCTGGGGAGAGAGCCAAAAGGTCTGCTGCAAGGATCCCTGTGTTCATTCCTGATACTGCAGAGGCTTTCTCAGGCAGAGCATTCCCCTTCGTGCAGCATCGGCCTGGGGGAGAACAATAGCCCCACCCACAGAAATCCCTCTTGCCCTACTCTGTGAAGCTTAAGCCAGCTGCTGAGAACTAGAGTTGCAGTCACTTTCAATGATTAAGCTTAATAGAAAGCCTGCAGGCACAAGCTGATCTCTTGGAGCTTTGAGACTTTAGCAGACCTCCCCCTGGGCCCAGTGCTAGTAAAAGCCAGACTTAGTGCACAGCTGTTCTTTCTGCACACACCCAGGCCCAACAAAGGGATCCACAAACTGTGAATCAGTGACAGCTTCAAACAGGTTGCCCAGTGCCAGTAACGGTTAGCCTGGATCAGAGTCTTGCCTAGATCTACCTAATACAAAGAAACAAACACAAAGAGGCAGCCAAAATGGGAAGACAAAGAAACAGGCCCCAAGTGAAAGAACAAGAGAATTCTTCAGAAGAGCTAAATGAAACAGAAGCAAGCAATTGATCAGATTTAGAGTTTAAAATAATGACTATAAGGATGCTCAACAGCATGAAAAAGAACAGAAGCAGAAGAGAGTGAGCAAGAGATTGAGCCTCTATTTGAAGAAATAATGACCAAAAATTTCCCTAACCTGGTGAAGGGAAAAGACACACAAGTCCAGGAAGTGCGGAGAGTCCCCAAAAAAGATGGACCCAAAGAGGCCCACACCAAGATACATCATAATTGAAATGGCAAACTTCAAAGACAAGAAGAGAATCTTAAAGGCTGCAAGCATAAAACAGGTACCTACAAGGGAGCTCCCATTAGACTGTCAGGACAGAAGGGATTGGCATGAAATATTCAAGGTAATGAAAAGCAAGGAGTTAACAACCAAGGCTACTTTATGCAGCAAGGCTATCTTTTAAAATTGAAGAAGAAATAAAGAGCTCCCCAGACAAGAAAAAACTAAAGAAATTTGTTACAACCAAACCAATATTGTAACAAATGTTAAAAGGCTTAGTATAATACAAAAGAGCAATGAACCCAAAAGCTGGTTCTCTGAAAAGAGTAAGAAAACTTTACCAGAATCATCAAAAACAAAAACAAAAACAAAAACAGGACCCAAATACTTAAAATCAGAAATGAAAGAGGAGAAATAACAACTGACACCAAATAAATGTAATGCATTGTAAGAAAATATTATAAACAACTATATGCCAACAAATTGGAAAACCAGGATGAAATGGACAATTTCCTAGAAACATACAATCTTCCAAAAATAAATCAAGAAGAATCAAGAATCTGAATAGACAGATTACACCTAGTGAAACTGAAACAGCGATCAAAAAACTTCCTTCAAACAAAAGCCCTGAACTGACGGCTTCACAGGTGAATTGTACCAGGCATTCTGAGTAGAATTAACTCTTCTCCTCCTCAAGCTATTCCAAAAAATTCAAGACAAGGGAAGACTCCCAAGCTCATTTTATGAGGTCAGCATTATTCTAATTTCAAAACCAGATAGACACTACAAAAAAAGAAAATTATAAGCCAATATCCCTGATGTACATAGATGCTAAAATCCTTAACAAAATATTAACAAGCCAAATACAGCAACATATAATGATCAGGTGGGATTAACTCTGGGTATGCAAGTTTGGTACAATGTTCACAAATCAATAAATGTGGTACACCACAAAACAAAGTGAAGGATAAAAACCACATGATCATATCAAAAGATGCAGAAAAAGCATTTGATACAATCCTGCACCCATTTATGATAAAAACTCTCATTAAAATAGAAATAGAGGGAACATACCTAAACAAAATAAAGGCCATATTTGACAAACCCACTGCCACCATCATACTCAATGGGCAAAAATGAAAAGTGTTCCCCTTAAGACTGGGAACGAGACATAGATGCCTGTTTTCACCTCTCTTATTCAACATAACTAGAAGTCCTAGCCACAGCAATCAGACAAAAAGAAGAAATAAAAGGCATCAAAATTGGAAAGGAAATAGTAAAACTGTCATTATTTGCAGATGACATGATACTGTATACAGAGAACTCCAAAAAGTCCACCAAAAAACTACTAGAACTGATAAATGAATTCAGCAAAGTAGCAGGATACAAAATTAATATACAGAAATCAGTTGCATTTTTATATAGCAATAACAAACCAATAGAAAAGGAAATTAAGAAAAAAATCTCATTCACAATTGCTTCAAAAAGAATGAAATACCTGTGAATAAACCTAATCAAGGATGTAAAAGATCTATACTCAGAAAATTTTAAGACACTGAAGAAAGAAACTCGAGAAGATACAAATATGTAGAAGTGGACAGGTAGAATTAACATCATTATAATGTCCATATTACCCAAAGCAATCTATAGATACAATGCAATTCCTATCTAGATACCAATGATATATTTCACAGAACTAGAACAAATATTTCAAAAATTTATATGGAACCATAAAAGGCCACAAATAGCAACAGCAATCTTGAAAAAAGAAAAACAATGTTTAGGAATCATACGACCTAATATCAAACTATACTATAAGGCCATAGTAATCAAAACAGCATGGTACTGGCAAAAAAAAAAAAAAAAACCCAGACACATAGGATCAATGGAACAGAATAGAAAGCCCAGAAATAAACCCACATCTTTATAGTCAGTTAATATTTCACAGAGGAAGCAAGTACATACAATGAGCTAAAAATAGTTTATTCAATAAATGGTGTTGGGGAAATTGGGAAGATATGTGCAGAAAAATTAAACCAGGCCACCTTCTTATGTCACACACACAATAAATTCAAAATGGATTAAAGACTTAAATGTTAGACCCTAAGCCATAAAAATTCTAGAAGAAAACATAGGCAGTAAAATCTTGAACATTGCTCAGAGCAGGATTTTTTCTGATATATCTCCTCAGGCAAGGGATACAAGAGAAACAAAAAACAAATGGTATTACATCAAACTAAAAAGCTTTTGCACAGCAAAGCTAACCACCCACAAGATAAAAAGACAACCCACAGAATAGAAAAATATATTCACTGATATATCTGATAACGGGTAAGAAAGAACTTTTAGTACTATAAAGTTATTTATAAAGAACTTTCAGTACTCAACACCAAAAAACAATCCAATTAAAAATTGGGCCAACGACCTGAATAGGCACTTCTCCAAAGAGGCCATAGAGATGGTCAAAAGACATATGAAAAGATGCTCAATGTCACTAATCATCAGAGAAATGCAAATTAAAATCACAATGAGATATCACCTCACACCTGTCAGAATGGCTATCATCAATACATCAACAAACAAGTGCAGGTGAGGATGTGGAGAAAGGGAATACCCTCTTGCACTCCTGGTAGAAATGCAGACTGGTGCAGCCACTGTGGAAAGCAGTATTGAGTTACCTCAAAAAATAAAAAATAAAACTGCCTTATGATCCAGTGATTCCATTTCTGAGAATTTATCTGAAGAAACCAAAAACACTAATTTAAAAGAATATAAGCACCCTTATGTTCATTGCAGCATACTTACAGTGGCCAAGATTTGGAAGCAGCCTAAGTGTCCATTAGCAGATGAGTGGATAAAACAACTATGGGACATTTACACAATGAAATACTACTTGGCTGTAAAAAAGAAACATGTACCCTATGTGACAGCATGGATGGACCACGAGAAGATTATGCTAAGTGAATAAGCCAGTCAGAGAAAGACAAATTCCACTCATATGTGGCATCTAATGAACATACTAAACTAACAAGCAAAATAGAAACAGAATCGTAGAAAGAGAGCAGGCTGAAGCTCTGGGGCAGGGGGTGGTGGGGGGTGGAACTGAGCAAAAAAGAAAAAGGACTCATGGACATGAGCAACAGTGTGGTGACTGGGGGCAGGGATGGTGCATGGAGGTGGAAGACGGCATAAGGTGAATAAATTGTAATAAATACAATTTTTTTTTTAAAGCGTGAGAAGACTTACAAATGTTTCTCTGAAATACCTTCCTGGTATTCAGAAATGTCATGAGGAGGGACAAAGCAGCAGAGAAGGCCAAAGAAGAGAAAGGGGTACATGGATGGTAAAAAGCCAAGTTGGGAGGGAACTAGTATCCTTACAAGAGGAAACAAACATTTCTCATGTTTTGAATATTGCCCATTGTTATAGGTTCAATTGTGTCCTCTTCCCCAAAGATATGTAGAAGTCCTAACCCCCGGAGCCTGTGAATGGACTTGATTATTTGGAAACAAAGTTTTTGCAGACATAATCAAGTTAAGATGAGGTCTTTAGGGTGAGCCTTAATTAAACATAACTCGTGTCCCTATGAGGTGACAGAAATCTGGACACACGCACAGGGAGAATAAACACCACATGAAGACACAGAGACACACAGACACAAAGGAAAGATGGCGACGTGAGGATCAAGCAGGGACTGGAGCCACGCTGCCGCAGGCCAGGGAATGCTTGGAGTTAGCAGCAGCTAGAAGTGGGGAAGGATCATCCCCTACATCACATTTTGATTTTTCACATAACCATTTCCTACTTTGATATCAATTACAGTGATGTCTACTTTCCAAATTAATAACTGAACATTTTGGAAAATTAACAAACATTTCAATTATAGCCTCTAGATGAATGAGTGGGTAAATCAAGTACTATTATGAAATTTGGAGTAAGTTCTCTAAAAGATCCAATGAAATTTTCAGGTAATCTTTACTAGTAAATGAATACACACATGTACACACACACAATTATTGATGCTTTCATAAATTCATTCTATAACCTAGCCTTCCCAATCTTTCTTTTCCAATATCTTAACTTCTTCAATCTAGAATTCACAGTATCTTTTTAAGATATAAACCCTCTTGGTCAGATAATAACTATTATATATTTTCTTCTCTTCCTTAGGATAAATTCCTATAAGTGGGGTTATTGGTCAATAAAAGGAATATTTCATAATGTTCAATATATATTAGGGCTTTTTCACACATATGTTTGACCAACATTATCCAAAGACCATTTATTTGTCAATCCCTGTATTCATGTGTACACCTCACTTCTACATCCCAAGCCTGTTTATTTTGGATAGGTACTGATTTAAAACAGAAGCAATTAAAAAGCATTTTATACAATGATCAAACAATATTTTAAAAAGTGAGCTGACAAAAATGCTAATGAGTTTATAAAAGTAGAGGATACATTTTGGTGTAAAACCCTAGCATTTGTAACACCTACTCCTAGTGTCAAGTTTAAAAATACACATACAGATATTGTCATTCAATCAACCAATGAATATTACAGAACAACTAAGTGCTAGGCTCTCTAAGAACATAAAATGTAAGAACAAAGAACATTCAGTAAACCTCCTATACAACTCTGCCCTCTGCCATATTTTCAAGTTTTTAGTAAGGGAGGTTCATCAATATTTTGTAATCAGGGGATGGACTTCATAGGCAAAGAGAGACATGATTTAATCAACACCTCACCATGGCTCAGAGCTGAGCCAGACAAAACCAATACAGGCAGAAATGCTGTCACATTACTTTTCAAGATGGCAAATGACATAGATTTCATTACCTCCCCCTGGTAACTTATTCTGGTATTTATAACCATACTTGGCCCTCCTTAATATCTACCTTTAAACCACGTTCAAAAATGCAAAATAGCTTATACTTTTATAGGAAAGTCATCCGACCACAACACCCCATTTACTATTTCTATGTGAGGGCTCAAAGACATACAAGTAGCCAAATAAGACTGAAATTCTTCATACCCACATGTAGTAAGTTTTTAAAGAGCTAAATCTGAAAGTCTCTGCTGCAAAATACATCAAGTAGACTGGCTCTGAACTCACCATTCATTCCATCACACTTTGAATTTCCAACATTAAAGCAGGAAGTTTTCATGTTGCCAGGAAGGACATTCCACCATTTATATTCAAACCCAAGTGCAGGCTCTGTTCCTGCTGGGCATGGTCTGCATTCTACAGAAGACAAGCAGAGTGAACAATTACATTTAAACTTCATCTGGACAACTTCCTCTTCTTCTGTTTAAAGCCCTACTCAATTTTAATTAGCAGAAAGAGAAGTGGGAAGGAGAGATACTGAGCCACCAATTTTCTTAAGAATTAATAATTTTTTAAAAGCAATCTGGAAAGAAAAAGAATTCTGGATATATTATACACATGCATACTTGACTTATATGAAAAAGGAAAAGGTAAATACAAAATATTTAAAAATAATATTCTCCCTCATTTTAGGGTGTAACTGCTAATATTAAATTATAATCTACAAGAAGAGTAACTGAAACGAGTTCTCTTATGTGTGATTATGGAATCAGTACCATCTACTTCATGAATAAGGAAATATTTCACGTCTCCTGTTCATTACTAAATGGAACAGAAAACCATGCATGCCATTTAATTATGGAATAATTACTTGAAATTCAAAATATTGGCTATGTTAAAAAAAATGATACTAGGAATTGAGGGCTAGATAAAGAGTTAAGGTTTTTGCATAAACCTGATTTAAATTAACATCTTCACTATTGAAATGGAAAGGTCTTTTCTAACCATTTTTGAATTTACCCAAGACACTTTAGATTATCACATCAGTAAGAAGAGGGGTACAGAGAGAAAATGTTCACTGAACAAACACTTCCTGGTACCAAAGTACTGCAGGAGACATTTTTATTATATATAACCTGCTTAGTGATGATGAGCCTAGATATTATTACCAGCAGTTTTACAGATGAGAAAATTGAGGTTCAGGAGATTGAAGTAGCTTAGATAAATCACACTATTGGTAGCCTACAGGATGTGGACTCATGCCCAGGTCAATTTGACTCTGAAGTCCTTTTCATGTTGTCTCTCAGAGGCTCTGGATATTAAATATCTGGAATGGCTATATTCAAGTAAGAAACCTGCAGATAAAATGTATTATAATCTTTGTCTACCAAAATTAAAACAAATTCTAGAACCACTTTCTATATTATTTGGTAAGTACCAAAATTTTCCCAACTATACACTTTGAAACAATTCACTTAAGGACTATAATATGCCATATGATCAAAATGAGCAATTTCTTATATTATTGTAGCACAGAATGTGATTTATTATTTCAAAGCTGAATTATAAGACATTACATTTTATGCTTGTATCAGTATGTGTATATGCATACACTGGAAAAGAACTGTTTATCCTTAATCACTTAATATGGTGTAATTTCTTATCACTGTACAAAGGCTGAGTCATCTCATTAAGACTGCATTACACAAAAATGCCATTAAAAAGCTATCCTTATGATATTTTAAGTAAGCCATTGCAGTCTCATGATGCCATTATTATAGTTCTCAACTGTACCTCAGTCTCCAAGAAAAGTATGTTTTAAAGAATGATTTCATAAGAACAATTTTGAACAAAAAAGTCACAGTAGTCAACAAGATTATTATGTTAAAGGTCTAATTATTGGACCAACTGATATCCTACCCTTTGTTCCATCTGAAAATGTCCCAGGAGGGCAGGGATGGCAAGAAGATGATCCATTGTTATAAAATCCAGGGTTGCAAGGTGGACAATCCTTCTTCTCTCCAGAAGGGGGCAACCTAATAGCATCTGTGAGATCTTCCCGGCAGATTTTGGGCTCTATCCACTTGTACATTATCTGTGTCTGCACAAAAAGTCTTGTAAGTCATCTAACATCCTTTATTTGCTTTAAACTTCCAATAACACAATGTTAAACTGATAGCCTAGAAAAATTCCAAATAGTGACAGAATAGAAGCATCAAATCAAGACAACCTAAAACATCAGTAACAAAATGAGATAAAAAGAAAAAAATTTTAGTGAGAAAATTACAGTTATTTCCAAATATTTTTACCCTAAACTACAGGTGGCTTTACCTCATACATAGCACATTCTTCATCATGAAATTCCTCTTTAAAATACAAATAACATGATTATAGCCCTTAGCTGTCTATCCACTCACTCCCTTCATTCTTCTACCAACGTGAGTCTATGCAGAGACTGTCTTTTTCATTCTGAGACCTGCACTGCTCTCTTCCTTTCCCTCAACCACAGCACCTATCACCAGGCTTTCTACACAGTGATCAACTCCCCCCCAGCAAAAAAAAAATTATTTTTAAAGAAGAATATATATAGCTTCACATTTTAGTCCTGTTATTTAACAGATATTGATAGTACCTCTCTAGGTCTTTTCCAGTATCCTGATATTAGACTCCAAGATCTATAGCAAAATATTTTCTCTGATGATTTGAGGCCCTCTCACAAGTGCACTGAACATCAGGTCTGAGACAGCTGCTAGGCTTCCTGGCAAGATGGCAGTGTAGGTACATGTGGTACTTGTACCTTCCCAGGACCACATCAAAATTACAGCTAAACTACAGAACAACCATCATTCTTAACTGCCCCACATCAGGTCCCCAGCACAGGGTTCCAGGCCAGGAAGAGAAGCCCTCATAATTTCTGGCTGTGAAAACCAGCAGGCTTTGGGGCTGAGTGAGATAGAGGGCTTTTAGAGTTTTAGGCATTCCTCTTAAAGGGCCTATGAATGGGCTTACTCAGACATACTCACTCTGAGCATCAGCACTGGGGTAGCAGCTCAGAATACACATGGGACATGAGAGGAACTGAACTGTCTGGTTCTGGGGTGAGAGGTGGAGAGTCAGCTCTCTCCCAGACATAAGTGTTGGCAGAAGCCATTGTTCCTTTATTGAGTGCTCCCCCTGAAGGTGTAGGCTGACACCATATCTGAGTCACCATCAACCTTACAAACATTGTTCGCCCTGCCCTGGTGATTCCCTGAGACCTTGCCCCACCCAACTTGTGCTCATGCCCAAGCCAATTCCAGTGGCTTTTCCATACAAATGGCCCATCTTCACCCATGCTACAGATTTCCCTAAAATCTATAAAAGGTTCACAAACCCCATACCTCTTGCTAAGTAGCCCCAGGCCCAGCACTAGTGGTAGGCAGCCTCAGTTTGAAGCTTGGCCTTCTGGGGCACCTCCCTGACAAGCCAAGGTAGCAGTCATCTTCAGATCACGTTATAGATCACAAAGGGCAGCCCCAAGTTGGACACAGGAGGTGACTGAACTTGGCCTGTACTTCCCACGAGGCCCCAGGGCCAGGACACCTGGTGGCCAGCTTCAGACCATGCCAGAACACCACCCAACCACCTCCACGCAAAACACACTGAAGGGGTGGACTTGGCAGGCATCAGAGTTTCACTGAAGTGAGTTCTGTTCCATGGGGTTGGCCCCCACACAGCAGCTCCTCCACAGTAGTCAAAACTGGTCCTTGTACCTGACTGAGTTGGTGGTCAATTCCTCCCACTGATGTGCCAACAGCGGTCAAGGCTAAACCAGAATGGAAGGGTTCACACAGCCCATACAAGGGGTGCAGTTGGAGTACCCAGCTTGGGAGGCCAGGAAAGCTATGTCACTGGGCCCTACAGGACACCTACTATATAAGGCCACTCAGCCAAGACTGGGAGACAGAGCAGATCTACTAATACAGTGATTTTTCAACTAGTGTTCCACAACAAATTGGTGTGCCATGAGAATGTTTAAAACATGGAATATCTGACTATTTAGTCAGAGGCACTGACCTCTTTTCCCTTAGATTATCAAATAAAAAAAATTACATGAGCCAACACAACAATAGCCAGTGAATGAATCAAAATTATACCTATTTTTTATGTAAGATCAGCAAAAAATATATTTTTGGGTGTGCTGTAGAATTTTAGTAATTACTTTGTGTGTGCCATGAGATGAAAAAGGTTAAAAATCATTGACTTAATACACAGAAACAAAAAACAGAGAAGCAGCCAAAATGAGAAGACAAAGAAACATGTGCCAAATAAAAGAACAGGAGAAATCTCCAGAATAAGGACTAAATGAAATGGGGGCAAGCAAACTACCAGGGACAGAGTTCAAAACACTGGTTATAAGGATAGTCAAGAAGCTTAAAGAAATCTTCAAAAACATAAAAAAAGACATAGAAACCATAAAAAAGAACCAGTAAGAAATGAAGAATACAATAAATGAAATTTAAAAAACACCAGAAGGTATCAATATAATATTAGATGATGCAGAAGATTGAATGAGCAATTTTAAAGACAAGGTAGCAGAAAACAATCAGAGTAGTAAAAAGAAAAATAATTTTTTAAAATGATGATGGCTTAAGAGATTTCTGGGACAGCATCCAGCATGACAACATCTGCATCAAAGGGACATCAGAAGGAGGAAAGAGAACAAGAGATTGAAAACCTGTTTGAAGAAATAATGACTGAAAACGTCCCTAACCTGGTGAAGGAAAAAGACATGTAAATCCAGGAAGTGCAGAAAATTCCAAACAAGATAAACCCAAAGAGGTCCACAACAAGACACATCATAATTAAAATATCAAGGTTAAAGACTAAGAGAGAATCTAAAAAGCACCAAGAGAAGAGCAGCTGGTTACCTACAGGGGAATTCCCATAACACTTCTAACTGATTTCTCAACAGAAACATTGCAGGCCATAAGGGATTGGCAGAAAATATTCAATGTGACGAAAATCAAAGACATACAACCAAGATTACTCTACTCAGCAAAGCTATCATTCAGAATCCAAGAACAAATAAAGAGCTTCCCAGATAAGAAAAAGCTAAAGTAGTTCATCACCACCAAACCAGTATTATAAGAAATGTTAAAGGGTCTTCTTTAAGAAGGAGAAGAAAATAGATATAAGTAATAATAAAAATCTGAAAAATAAAGTGGCAATAAACATACCTATCAACATACCTATCAACAATTACTTTAAATGCAAATGGGTTAAATGCTCCAAACAAAAAACATATGGTGGCTGAATAGGTAAGAATACAAGGCCCTTACATATAATGCCTACAAGAGATACACATCAGATCGAAAGACACACACAGACTGAAAATACAGGGATGGGGAAAAATTCATGAAAATGGAAACAAACAAATATCTGGGATAGCAATATGTATACCAGACAAAACAGACTTTAAAACAAGAGACAAAAAAGGACCCAGAAATTCCACCTCTAGATATTTATCCAAAAAAACCCAAAATACTAAATCAAAAGACATATATGCATCCATATGTTCATTGCAGCATTATTTACAATAGCCAAGATATGAAAGCAACTTAGATGAATGGATAAAGAAGAAGTGGTACATATATTACAAGGTCCAGTAGAAGTAGCGCCTGCTTGAGTGTGGTTGGTAGGGTAAAAATATAGGTGTAATTATTTATAGCTTTAATTTGAACATTTCACCTAAAATGTCATATGGTGGACTTGAGCGTGCTATTGTTATGTTACAGAATTACATGAGTATGATTTTATAATAGAAGATTTTGTAATAAAAGGGTGTTATTTGTGCCAGAACTTTTACAGTAGAATATGACTCAGCCATAAAAAAGAATGAAATCTTGTCATCTGCAACAACATGGATAGACCTAGAAGATATTGTGTTGAGTTAAATAAGTCAGAGAAAGACAAATGCCATATGATTTCACTTATATGTGGACTCTAATAAACAAAATAAATGAACAAGAAGAAAACAAACAGACTCTTAGATACACAGAACATTTGGACAATTGCTAGATGGGAGGAGGTTTGGGAGGATGGGTGAAAAAGGTGGAGGGATTAAGAAGTAGAATTTGTACTTACAGAATAGTCACAGGTATGTGAAGTGCAGCATAGAGAATATAATGAATAATATTGTAATGACTGTTAGGGTGTCAGATGGGTACTTTTTTATTGGAGTGATCACTTTGTAGTTTATATAAATGTCTAATCACTGGGTTGTACATGAGAAACTAAAGTAATATTGTAAGTCAACTGTAATTGAAAAATAAAAACATTATTTTAAAAAAGACAACCTCTCACTTCAAAGAGGGAAGTCTTTTAAACCTTATGCTTTCATTCTTTTTCAAACATGCATACACCCCCACACAAAATAAAATATAACAAAATAGCTATGACTCAGCCAAACCCAGAAAGTTGTCATAAAATTATTCTCCTTTGAAACCAAAACATTAAAAGAGTTAGCCATTTCAAAAACAAAATTAATATTGTCAGTGGGTGGAAGAGTATTCTAAATGCAGAAAGAAAAATAAATTCTTGCATAACTGAGTACAGTTTTTAAAAAGAAATTAATAGCTTCTTTCATTAGACATATAATTTGCTGAAAGTACTTTTCTCCTTGAAAACAATTTCTGCAATAATAAGTCTAATACTGAAGCTGAAGAACCAAAATTAAAGGCAATTCTCTATTGAAATTTTCAGCTTACAGAAAATCATATACAGTAAGCCCTTTAGGCCACTCAATTTTATTTTCTTATGGAAGAGTAAAGTATCTTTATTTGAAAAAAGATGCTTAAGAAAATGGTTTAAAAGTTATGTCTCAACAGAATTATAATTTTTTTTTATTTTGCAACTCTCTCTTTCTGCATTTACTTTATGACCTATGTCATGAAACAGTCCAACCATCAATTTCACCCATCTGCCTCTCTCTTAACATCTGTAAAATTATCGCCGCTCCTGATAGAGCTTTCTAAAGAGCTGGAAAAATAAGTTAGCTCTTATGTCCATAAGGGATTCTCCCCTGAAAAAAAGCAATATAAAATTCAGGGAATCTAAGCA